ATAAATACCTTTAATGAGTGTGAATAGGGTTACACATAAATCTAAAATATGAAATAATAAGACTGATCCAAGTACCAAATGTGATAGATATTTTTTTTATTCTCGTTTTACATTAATGTTGACTAATTATAACCAAACTTCACAGCGAGCTTAGTATTTAGGGTTTCAACATAATTTTGGCTGATATTTGTAAAAAAAAAAGGATAATTTGTTCACATTTCAACACTACTGAATCATTTGATTCTATCATTAATGCCAATATACAAATTAATATCTTAATATTATGTAAATATTTTTTATTTAAATGATGTTAGTCATTTTAGGGTTGTGATAGGTTTAGTTATTTATATCTTAGAGAATTCTGTCTAGCAATATGAAGTATGGTGTAATAAATATGTTTTCTATTTTATGGATGTCATGTTCATTTTTATCCACTCCAATGTTTTTTAGCACAATCGTTACTCTCAGATGTTTCGAATAAATGCACAAAAAACATTATCCAATTCAAACTTAAACTAAATCAAAGTGTGCAAAAATAAATTAATTTGTTTAATTAAATTTGGTATTACTGATTATCTCGTTGTTCAGTAATGTTGTATGTAAAAGTTGATCAAGACGCAACCTCCAGCAACACCTGCGAGTACCGGTATAGTACTTGTGTGAAAATTTGTGGTTATAGTTCCACCTACAGTTAATCATATTTATAAACTAGTATTTTTTTAAAATAATATCACTTCTTTATTTGGTCGCATTGCTATAGTGGTACCAATGCGTAGGTAATTTATGCATTTCTGGAAGTTGACTAAAATACTATGGCAGAAGTGTGTGAACATAAATGCTGGAAAAGTTAGTTATAGCGCCACCTACAGTTATAAATTTGCTTTCGTTTTTATCTCTCAATGACAAGCAGCATGCCATTCACGACTGTACAGTATTTGTAATTACTTTTGTTTTTATACTTGCTGGTATGTCAATGAATATCACCACCCATGTTTCCTAGTTTTGACAATAGACAAATCATCAAAGTGGATTTTGATTCCATGCAATACATATGAAGAAATTTGAACATTTTCAGATAAAGATCGTATTTTATTCAACAAAAACAGCAGACAATAAATCAGACCAGTTTCATTTTGTGTTTCGTCACAAGTGAACCAACGGCTCGTTGAGCTAATGAAAAATCCAACAATGGTGTTATAACGAGAAAAATTAAGTCGTTCAAAGACATTAAATCAGCTCTCTTAATTTTAACAAGTAGTTGGTCACATACACTAAGGCACATTCACATATGATTGAAAGCATGTGCATGCAGTATGGGTGTAGACAATTACATTATATGAATTGAGGCTGGTGTTGGTATTTACAAATATGCTTGTTTAAAAACTACAGGTTTCTGCCATGCACTAGTGCAGCAATTAAAAATCAGAAACCTACAGTACTAAACAAATACCGGTAGTGCCAATCCGACTTAACTTTCAAGTGACTGTGTAGACAGACACTATTCAGATTTTAATAAATAAATTTAATAAATAGTAGTAACTAAGCAAACTAACACAATGAGAAAAAAAAATGATTTTATTTCCAATGTCACAATTGAAACATGATCCCCCTTCCATCATGTCGCCATTTACAGATGAAGAATGGTTAACCACGAAAAGAACATGTTAAACCTGGATATCATTCAGCACAGATGTAGGTACATGTATTTTATTGTAATCTTCCAC